ATATTAAACAAAACAATTACATCTTAAATTGCAACAGCTTTATTTTTTTGAATTGGTGAATTTATTTTAATAATTTTTTTATAAAATGACATAGGTGGTATTGTACATATTCACCAAACTATAGAGAGAACTCAAATTTGATCCCCAACATGCATCTCTTACACGTTTTGGGGTCTGTTTGGCGCAGCTGCTGATTATTTATAATCTGCTGATAAGCAGATTATTCTGATAATCTGATAATCTGCAGATTATCAGAATAATCTAGCTTGCTGTTTAAGGCAGCTTATTTAGATTAGTTTATTGGTGGTTAAATGACATTGCTGCCCGTCTGATAAAACTGTTTGGGGCAGCTTATTCAGAATAGCTTATTAGTAGTACATAAGCATATAGTGCAGAAACATACAATCATCACAAATTAGTTCCAAAAGATGACATATAGTTCTCACACTCTTGTAAGTACCAGAAGAAATAAAAAAAGATAAAGACAAGTACAACTACAATGAGAAATATTAAAATATTTAATTTCAAACTCCGGCTACGCATGTTCTCATCTGCACTATCAACCTGGGAAAACATCGGATTCTCATAACTGCTGGCAGTGTAATATGTGGGGCTATCAGCCCACAGGAAGAAACTGCAAAGACCTGAAACACCCTTGGCACAACCGTAGGACTGCCTCTCGAAGCTATGAGACTGACGTGACGTGAGCAACGAAGACGGTAGTCCACAATAACACAAAATACATTTGTCTATAACTGATATCCTAGAGACATGTTTGTATAACTGCGACAAAAATAAAAAAACGAATGTCAGAACTTATCCCAAAAAAATAAAATACACATAAAAATTGATCTACATATATACGAAGAAAAGAAAGACTTGTTGGATTATCTGTCATATATAGCATCTGCTATAGAATCCCTCAGAGCAATCATCTCGGCTGCACCCTCACTGTCCTGAGTTTCATATTCAGTAGACCCGATCTCATTATCAGCTAGAGATCCTGAAGGTTTTAGGGAGTCAATAATTGGATCATCATCAGCAATATCGAAGTCCGTATCTGAATGAGAGGGATGTCCTCGGATGAAGTTGTGAAGTGACATAGTGGCCACCACAATATGCACCTATTTGTTAAATGAATACAAGGGCATATCACATAGGATAACCCATTTCTTCTTCCACACTCCAAATGTTCATTCAATAACCCCCTGTAAAGAGGAGTGTTGTTCGTTAAACATTTATTTTTTGCCACGAATGGTGCCACTTACTCGCTCAAAATCAGGAATATGATATCTGGTGTCTGGATAGGGCTTCAGGTAGCCCCTTAGCATCGGATACCCAACATCTACCAAATAATACTTTCCTGTTATGAAAGACTATATTAATTAAAAATAATTAATGTAATTAACAAGATGTTTAATTAAGATGAACAAACCTGGAGATGGGTGAGGGAAACACTGTGTTCGATTCCTAGTTGCATAAGAAAAAAGACTATTGTCATGTGCACTTCCTTCTCACCCCGTCATTACAAATGTGAATCACATGTTGAAGTCACACACTGTCATCACATTTTGGGTAGTTTTACCACTCCGACCAATATACGCGATTCTTTCATGACTTGGTAGTCGGGCATTCACATGAGTACCATCGATTGCTCCAATGCAGTTCTGTAACTCATAGTTAGCAATTCTACAGGTATTGAAGTAAAAGTAACAAACTAATCAAACTTACTTTGAAATACGACATGTAACGAGGATTATTAGCAATTTGTTCAGGAATAGTTGTGAACGATGGATCGGATTGCTTAATGTTTTGTGTTGTTAAGCTCACAAGTGCTTGCATATCTTTGTAGAAGTATCGACTAATTATTTCCGAGGAATGTTGAAATCGCTTCATAGCTCCTCTAACTCATTAATTATGTGATAGAATATATAATATTATAGCCAAGACCTCTCTCGTGGACGTTCTAGAAGAACCTTGAAGGTCGTGGTTACAACATAAGTCATGTAGAAGATCCATAAAAATGGGTGCACTCATTCAAAAAATGCTATTGAACCTTATTGGATGTCCAACAAGCATCTCGCCCACCCATTTGTCCCCAACATATGAGGACATCATGTGTGGTATCCGTCTCGTGTTGGAGCAGTAATATACCAACAATAATATCGCTATTGCCATTCCATGTATAGGATTGTTCTAACGCATTCCAACAATGCCAAAATCACCCGCCCAAAAGGAACATCTCTGGATTATATGCAATTCAAAAACTTGCCATAATAAAGAAAATTTCACCGCATTCCAACAATGACAAAATAAAGATCAGACAAACAACGTTTGACTTATCCTTCATATGACAACATTCAACAATGCCAAATAAAGATCAGCCAAACAACATTTCACCCAAAAGGAACATCTTTGCATTCCAACAATGCCAAAATGTCCCAGGCAACGTTTTGTAGAAAAGCAAATCTTTCATATGACAGCATTTCCCAACAGCTAAAAAATTTCAACCACGATACCAAGCAACGTTTTGAAAAAAAATTTCAGACGAACGAGGAGCAGAGACGAGATCACATGCATTTCCCAACACTTAAAAAATTTCATACGAATGATCCCACGCAAGGATCACAGCATTTCCCAACAGTTAAAAAATTTCAGACGGACGATACCTACAAAAATTTCAAGGAAATTTCAAAAAACTTTCGAGCAGAGGGGTGCACGGGATCAAAGATTTCGATCACAAACTGAATCGAGGAGCATAGATGAGATTAGGTGAGCCTGACCGCATATCTAGTGCAACGACGACGAGACGGGATCGAAAGGGGCGAGACAGGATCGAAGAGGGCAGCGGAGTAATAATCTATCCCTCAATGCGGAACACAGGTGGCTCGGAGCGGCGAACGAAGCAACATGTAATAGTATAAACCCTTACGCGTGTATTTCCACCGTTGACCCGAACGTGTTTTTCAAACGCCACCCCGGCGTTCCAAAAACTCCGAACGCACATATAAGCTGCGCCAAACGGACCCTTATTCGTTTTAATGCTTCTGTGTGTGTTTTTATATATATATATATATATATATATATCTGTGTGTGTGTGCTTTTCTTATATTAATGCATCTTACTGTAGAGATCAAGAGTGCTCGCATAAGAAAGACACTATTTAAATAGAGTATATAAAAGATTTAAATACGCAATCACAAGAGATGAATAAAAGATTTTAGAAAATATTATAGAATTATTAATTATTAGCATTGCTTGGATCTTCAAGATGGTTGTTAACTTTTAAATAAGTTCCATCATGAACATTTTATAAATAGATAAATAAAAAAATAAAAATAAATAAAAACCACACTTGAAATTTTAATTAGAGCATTTTAAAATTGAAGCCCATCAGAATCAAAATTTTCAGAATCTCTCAATAAATATTAATTCATATCAAATGACGACTAAGACCCCTAAAATTCTCATTAATATATCAGCTGCCCACTTCTTTTTAGAATATGCTTTATTTGTTGAATTTTGAAAAACACCAAAATTAAATCTGGAATATCAAAAAATGATGAAATAAATTTGAAGACACTTATGGATAAAGGCTCGATCATATTATAATTTCTGCAGCTAGTGACATTCTAGCATCGATAAAGGCATAGGCTCGTATGTCACTGTGTGTATGCATGCAAGTGCAAGCATATGAGTGTGGTGGTACGCACAAGTTGTGGATAGCAATGAGACACGCAAGCATGTGGGAGCACGTGAAAGGGGTATTGAGGGGGTGCGTCCATGGGTTCAACGAGATGTGTTGGTAGAAGTCGGTGAGCATGTATGTGCATGTGGACATCGTGGGCAATTTCAAGGCATTGCAGACTCGTGCGACGCCCCTCGTGTGGATTTTGGAGTACATGTGGACATAGTGAGGTGCACTGTTGCAGCGAGGCACTCACATTAGTACAATAAGGCATGCGAGCGTACACAAGGATGCAACAAGGCACATTAGTGCACCGGGTCTCACCCATGTGCTTGTGTTGGACAATGGCACACTAGTCATGTGTGCTATTGTATATACTCACAAAGCAAGGCATCCATTCACAAAATAGTGCATCCGTGTGAGAGGGGTATGCAAGCAAGTGCATATATTTCAGGTTAACTTAATCATTCCACTATGTTTCTGCAAAAATCATAGATCATAATTGATTTTAACACCCTAACTGACCAGGTAAGGAGTAAGTGAAGGCCGGAAGGTTAACCAACAATGTCAATAAATACAAACGCGGAAAAATGTATGTGAGAAATCAACAACAAAAATTAAACCATGAAATCCATCCACAAATCACAGAGGCGCAAAAAGTAATTTAGTTGTGCATAGCTCGAGAGAAAAACAACGAAAATCTCATGGAAATCAAATTTGCAAGAGACATTTTTTTATTAAAATAAAAAACAAACTTACAGCCCTTGATAATCCTCTCTTACAACACCAACAACAAACTTCTCTCAAAAACCTCCCTCAGAAGAACATAACAAAGAAAATCTAAGAGGAGAATAAGAACTCTCTTTAACCTTAGCCTCCTTCCGAATTCTCTCCCCGAAAAGCTCTCTCAACTCCTCAAATTTGTTCTTTTAAAGCTTGAGTTTAAATTCCTTCCAAAAATCATATGAATCCCACACTTAATTATATCTTATTTAGATAATATATGACAGTATGACCACACCCGATTTGCGATGTAATTATGCCAAACTCTTGGGTTGGGTGACTTGGTCACACCGCAATTTGGTGTGACTATGCCAACCGTTCAGGTGTGTGGGTCTTCAACAGATTGGGTGTGACCATGCTCGAATCTGGCGTAATTACATTGCACAAGTGGTGTGGCCATGCCAAATCTAGGTGTGGCTACACCGGCTTGATTTTTTCCAAAGTCCCTTTTTTGCTCCAATTTACATGCTGATCCTTTTGTAACCTACAAAGTACAATTCTAACCATCCAAAAGCATAAAATCTTGAATTTAAATGAGGAAATTGTTAGAATAAAAGCTTTAAAAAATGTGAAAGTGTCAGGGGTGCGTGCATGGGCTCAAAGAGGCATGTTGGTTGGAGGGTGTTATCATGTATGTGCATACAGATGACATGGGTGCATGGAAGGCGTTGCATATTCATGTTAGGCCCATAGTGCAGATAGTGGAGCACATGTGGTCATAACGTGGTGCAATGTAGCAGCCAGGCAGATGCATGAGCACAATAAGGCATTCGGGGGCGCACGAGGGTGCAATGTGGCACACAAGTGTAATGAGTCTCACACGTGTGCTTCCACGGCCACAATGACACACTAGTTGTGCATGTCATCACATCTACTCATAAAGCAAGGCTTCCATTTGACCGAAGGAAAATATATTGAGATTTTCATACCTATTTTATACTATTTTTGATGATATTGCACTTTAACGAAAGATGTTTTTGATGTTTTGTTGCAGGAATAAGGAATTAGGGTCATTGAAGCAAAAAGGAGCAAATTTGTAGTGAAAATGACCAAAATGTGAAGCTTTGAACTAGGCCGCCGACGACGGCGAGATTTTCCCGAGACTACAGGTCAAAAATTCTCTAGAAGCCCGCCGACGGCGCCCTCGAGGCCGCCGGTGGTGAGATCGACGGGTATGCCTACTCAGGCTTTGGGTAAGGCC